TTGAGAGAGTATTAACTGACGATGCAAATTCTTGTTAAGATGTTTGGATGAATGCAAAAAAAAAACTACTTCAACTGTTCATAATTCAGAAGGCAAACAAATTTGAAACTCTGCATCAAGAGTAAAACAAAGCAAAAGGAACATGAAAAAGAAATCAAGATGTTGTTACAGGGAACGGAGGGATATTGCGTCGTCCACAATGAATAATAAACAAATTTTCAGCTAGTAACTGGAATTTTTCGAGGTTCGTTACTTTCGTTTATAAAAAAGGGGAAAAATACATAATGTTCACAAAAGTAATAAAAATTGCTTATTATACTGTTTAAAATTACTGAGGAACTATGTGATGCATATCGGAAAACAAAAATAGGTAAAACGCTCAAAAATACCAATGAGCCACAAAGGATGGACACAAATTTGTTACTCTGAGACAAATTATTCTAGGCAGAAAACTTTTTCGATAAAAAAAAAATCCTTAAATGTTAGCAACCTGTCTCAGTTTAAACCAGTAAAGAAAGTCTTAAAGTCAGGCGGGGCCGACTTTATGATACCCTACACCATTTTGCTAATTTAGTAGAGCTCCACATAACAATTAAAGGTTTTTATGGGAGAATTTAATCATACACGCTATGATTATAATTATTATTTAATGTTCAAAGGACTAAATAAGACGAAGTATTTCTTTTATATTCGGACTTGTATTGCCCATTTGATATATATGGGAGCTATATCCAAATCTGTACCGATCTTAATAAAATTTGCAAAGATATTTCTCAGCTGTATTTCATATATTTCCCTAAATATTATTGTTACAGAGTGCATATTACTGCTGCGGAGGACAAAAATAACAAATCGAGCTATAGCTATATCTGAACCGATTTCGATCAAATTTGGCATACTTATTTTCAGTCCAAATTTGATATATTTCCCTGAATATCGTTGTTACGGAGTGCATATTACGGCTGTGGGTAACAAATATAACAAATATATGGGAGCTATAGCTATATCTGAAACGACCTTCACCAAATTTGACATATAAGCTTCTAGACTCAATTCGGTGAAAGGTGCCAAATTCCATCTCATTTGGGCAAATATTAGACGTTTGGTGCACAATAAAAGGTAAATCGGACGAAGTTATATATGTAGGAGATATATCCAAATCCGAACCGATATCGACAGAAATAAGCAAAAGTATTTCTGAGCTGTATTTGATATATTTTCCCAAACATTATTGTTACAGAGTTCATATTACGGCTGCGGAGGACAAAAATAACAAATCGGATGAACAATATATATGGGAGCTATGGCTATATCTGAACCGATTTCGATCAAATTTGGCATACTTATTTTCAGGCCTAATTTGGTTGTATGTGCAAAATTCCATACTATTCGGGCTGATATTACACGTTTGGTGCACAATAGAAGGCAAATCGGACAAAGATATATATGGGAGCTATATCTAAATTTTGACCGATTATCACCAATTTCAATAGGGTTCGTCCTAGGGCCAAACAAATGATTTGTGCAAAATTTCATCTGTATCGGGTAATAATTGCGAACTGCACTTTGTTCACAAAACTACATGGACAGACGGACGGACGGACATGGATAAATCGACTCTGAACGTGATTCTATGCAGATCATCAAAAGGAATTATGGGTCTATCTCGTTTCCTTTTGCCTGTTAAAAACAAATGCACAAAGTCATAATACTCTGACCACCTTATGGTGTAGGTTATAAAAAGAACTTCTATAAAGCTTAAAAAATCATCCGTTTTCTATTTTTAAAGAATAATAACAAACAACCTACCTTACAACTACCTTCCCAGTATACTCTCCTTACAATCCCCAATAGAATCCTTAAGGTGTTGCAATTACTCTTCACACAAAGATTCTTGTTGCCTTCTTTTAAGACGTCGACGACGAAGAATGCCATTCAAGTCCAAGTGTAATTCAGTCATTCATTCGTTCGTTATGTCCTCAAGCAATTCTTGGTGTTTTGATTTGATTTTTGAATTTTTCTTTTGCTTTTCAAGTTTTCTCTTTTTTTTTTTTTTTGTTTTCTTATTCTTCTGCTTTAGCAAATCATATCTGATTCGCAGAAAAAAATATCCTATTTTGCAGTAACAAAAGAAAAAACTGTTCATTTACAATAGGAAGTTTCCCTGGCCAGGGGCGAAAATATTCTGGCATACTGTGGGCATGTCTGTTGAGCTGGTGGAAAAATTGTTAGAAGCTGTTACTTGCAGCCCAGCAAGACTTGTCGTTTTTTTTTTAATAAAGTTAATTGCATTTTTAAATTCTTTGTTACTAAGTGAGTTTTTAATAAACTTTTTTCTACAGAATATCTATCCTCTCAGAGAGAAAATAGAGATCCTTTAAGAGATAGAGACGCCTTAAATTTCTCAGAAGGCCTCAATGGGTAATCTATTCTATAGAAGACCTCAATAAAATCTTTCTAAATAAGGTCTTTCAGTAAGGACTTTTATGCTATAGATGGGCTCAATGAGGCCTTCTAAGCTATAGACGCCCTCAACGAGACCATCTTAGCTGTATACGGCCTCAATCAGAACTTCTATAGTTATATACGGTTTCAATGAGGTCTTCAATGCTAACATCGAGCACAATGGCGCAATCCATTCTCTATATGGTCTCAATGAGGCTTACTAAGCTACAGACGACCTCACAGAGGCCTTCTAAGCTACGGGCGGCCTCAATGGTGGGCTACATGAGGCCTTCAATGCCATAAATGGCCTTAATAAGGCCTTCCGTGCTATAGATGGCCTCAATGACACCTTCTACAGAGTGAGATGAAGAAACTACAACCAACTTCAGACTGCTGTCATTTCTAAGCCACTCGTTCGACAGCAGTTAAAATTATTCCAGTGACAGGTCATTATATGGTTTACAAGCGTACAAAAGCATTTTGATGAGAATTTTCCAGAAAAAAAGTATTCGTGAAGGAATTTAAGCGTGATAGTGTGATTTCTTTATATTTCGCTGGAAAGCCACAAGTGGCTATCGTTAAAGTACTCCAGCATTTAAATGTGAATGAATCTTTTATGTCTCGTATCATCGTTCGTTACCGTGAAACTGGTAGCGTAGCCCGCAACATCAGCAGAAATGGTACGAAAAGTAAAGATCGAAACCCGAGTCGCAGTGGCCGAAAAATGGCTCGTGAGGTGAACATATGGCAGTAATCCATTCGGCAAATATTCAAAAATGAGCTCGAAGTAAAGCCATTGAAATTCTAAAAAATGCAAGAAATTATACCGCAACAGAAAAAATAGACTCAAAATAGTTAAAGAGTTGCCGAAAGTGGTGAGGTGCCGAGTTCGGTTTTCGATTATCTACTATGAGAAAACATTCGCTGACCAGCAGTTTGTAAACAAAAAACAATCGTGTATACTTGCCAAAGAGGTGAGCTAAAAATGTGCACCTTCGGTTGGCCACAAGAACTCAAGCGCCGGCCATAGTGATGGTGTGGGCCGCCATAACAGTCGATGGTCGTTCTCCGCTCGTATCAATCGACCGTGGCATCAGAATAAATGCCGCATATTATCGCGAAAATATTCTGGAGGGTGTATTAAAGCCTTGGGCATGCAAACATTTTGGCCGCAGACCTTGGACATTCCAACAGGACTCAGAACCATCGCACTCAGCACGCGCCATGAATGAATGGTTACAAAATGAAGTTACTCGCTTTATTTCCACCGCACAATGGCCACAAAAATCTCCGGATACCAATCCTAAAGCTCTTTCTAATCCGAAGAGGCCATATAAAAGTCGACCAAGGCGATCGGCCGAGAATATCGCTGCCGTACGGGCCAGTGTTGAGAGGTCTCCAAGAACATCCCAAAAACGCCGTTCTCAGCCGTTGGGCATGGCTCGGTCCACTTTACAACGGATTATTCGCATTGATTTGCATTTGTTCCCGTGCAAAATTCAATTGACGCAAAGAATGTTGCCTGCGGACAAGCCTCGTCGATTGGAATGGGCCCAAAGGGCCCAAAGGTCCGTCGAATATGGGAAACCCTGTATAAAAGACATCCATTCTATAGAAGACTTGAATGTGGCCTTTCATGCTACAGACGGTCTCAATGAGGCATTCCATTTCATAGAAGACCTCAATGTGGTCTTCTATGCTATAAACGGTCGAATGAGACCTTCTATGCTGTACATGGCCTCAATGAGGCCTTCTATGCTATAGATGGTCTCAATGAGGCCTTCTGTCTTATATGCGGCTTTAATGAGGCATTCTATATTATATACGGCCGCAATGAGGCCTTCAATATTATAGACGGCCTTAATGAGACCTTCTATATTACGCACGGCCTCAATGAGGCCTCCTGTATTATAGACGGCCTCAATAAGGTCTTCCATATTATAAACGGCCTCAATGATGCCTTCTATTTCATAGACGGCCTCAATGAGGCCTTCTATTCCATAGGGAGCTTCAATGAGTCCTTCTATTTCATAGAGGGCCTCAATGAGGCCTTCTATTCTATAGACGGCCTCAATAAGACTTTCTATATTTCAGACGGTCTCAATGAAGCCTCCTAACCTATAGACGGCCTCAATGAGGCCTTCTATAGTATAGACGACCTAAATGAAGATTTCTATTCTATGAATGGCCTCAATAAGGCATTCTATACTATGGACGACCTCAAAGAGGCCTTCTGACTTACAGACGGCCTCAATGAGGTCTATTATTCTATAGAGAAGCGCTACGAAGACTTAATGTGATTTCCCGGAATTCTCCATTATGTAATAACCCTCTCCTCTGCATAAATTAAGAAACATTTACATGGAACACAAATCATCCTTTAATTTTGTTGTAGATCCCAAAAATGTCAAAGCCAAAACATGAAATGATAACAAAAATATTGACATTTACCATAGGGAGAATGGATTTTGTCTTGATTTCTTGCCTTAATTAAGAAGAAATATTGTTGTGTAAATAAAAGCCAAAAAAAAAAAACTTCAATATTTTTCGTTTACCATTTGCAGCCGTTGCCGGTGATGATGAGGGTTAATCCGTTTCACTGATGTAGCTCTTCTCTGTGTGTTTTTAGATGGGCGATATTCTGACGCCAGTGGTGAGGTTAATGGTGGTGACGATGGAAAAGAGCAATATCCAATAAATGATGATTTCGCTTTTTAGGGCAAATATCCTTAGGTTGTTTTGGTTAATTGAGTAAATAATTCATTAATTTTATTTTGTAGTTGTTGCTGTTGTTGTTCTGGTGGTTGTTGGCGCTGATGATGATGACGATGTTTAATTAAGACTTAAGTTGTCATATTCAAAGAAACAGGAATACAGATAGACATATACACACACTCACACACTCAGGGGAACAGTTATACAGACACACACACTAAGACACATTTTATGTAAACATTTATAATTAATTCTATTTTTATTTGTTTTGATTTTTTGTTGTTGTTTTTGTTTTTTAAAGAGAGGGAGGATATGGAGTTGTGATTTTGAAAAACAAGGATTTGAATTTGGTTTCTCCTCAAGTGGTGTTTTTTGTGGTTCAAATTAAATTAAAATTCCTTTGAATATTTCATTTAATTCCATCAAATAATAAATCTATTTGATTGGTTGTTTTGTTTTGTTTGTAAATTCGTTTTTAAATATTTATTCTAATGCTAATTTGCAGGGAAACCTCTATAAAACAAAACCAACATTTATGTATGTATACACTCAGACTTATGAATATTTATGTATGTATGTGGGGAGCCTCTACCTCGCTGTTTGTTTAATTAAGGGCTGGTATCTTCAGGTTTTTTCTTCTCTTCTTTCTTTTTTTTTTTTTTTTTTTTTTTTTTGATTGTTAATTTGAATTTATTTTAAATTTCCTTGGGGGGTAAAACAAGGCAGCAATGAATGTAAATTTATTTCCTTGGGGTTTTTAATGGAGGCATAGGAAAACACAATTTGAGAGACTAGCAAATTGTTGTTGTTTTTAAAGGTATACTCTGTTAAAGATGAGGTTTAAAGGGTTCGTTGTTTTGGCTTTTTTATGGTTGTTTTGAAAAAATGAAAACAAAATGTTACTTGGAATATTCCGTGGAAATTTTTTGGTCACATGAAATGTTATTTTTTTCTTCCACACTCTTCTCTTCTTTTATTTTATTTTTATTTATTTTTTTTTTAATTTTTTGTGAAATTATAATTTCCTATGTAAATTTGGCATCACTTTGGGTGTTCTTTAAATATTTGTTATTAAAGGGATTCACTAATATTTTACACTAGATTCTACAGCTATTGACTAAAATACATGTCTTCTTTGTTGTTGTTATTATATTTTTATATATTTTTTCATTTACTTTTAACAATTATGACACTTAAACATTTAAGGTAACAAACAATGAGGTTTTTTTTCTAACATTTATGGAAACCAAAGTACACAAATGTAAACATTTTTATTTTATTTTTTAAATTAAATTCTTAGATTTCATTCAATTTCTTATCGTTTCGCAAGTTTTCCATTTGATATATGGCCACAGCAAAGATTTTTTATTCGTCTTTTTCTTTCCTTCTTTCGGTTTTGATATAAATTTGAATTTTATTGTTAACTTTGTAGGTTGTATTTGTTTCGGCTACAAAAGAAAAATGTATCAAAAATTCCGATAAAAATACAAATAAATAATATTGAGAGTCTTTGACCCACACCACCACACCACTGTGTTATGCAAAGACGGGATTCAATACAAAAGTATTTTTGCGAATACGAAAATAGGGCTATGGAAGTTGCAAAGGAATTTAGTTAACGGGGATGACGATTGTATTAAAGTGATTTGTATAAAAAATTGAAAATTTTCAAATTAAACTAGTAAAGAAGCTGTTATACCCTCTACCATTTGGAAAGAAACTCATCTAAAAATATATCTGTAAATGTCGAAATTTGAAGGTTATGTGTCACTGCTGTTATTAGAAACATCCAATCCAAATTTCAAACAATTCTGTAAAAAAAAAGTTAGCTACAATTATCAAAATACCGAATATAGGAATTGTTCAATAAAAGCAGAATCCTAATACTCAATTCTAAGTAACTTCGTTGGAAAATCTGGCCTAAATCATCCAAACACCGAATTTCGGGAAGTATTATATGGACGCTGAATTTGATTTTGAAATTTTGACTGATCATAAATTCATCAAAATACCGAATATAGGAAGCTACAATTATATGGGGGCTATAGGAAGACGTAGAATGATATAGTTAATATTCTGGCACAGGAGGTAGAACATATTATGAACTCTAAATACCGAATTTTAAGCTATTCCGTTAGAAAGTTTAGCCTAAATTGGCAAAACATTGCATATAGAGAGATATGGGGGCTATAGAAAAACGTGTTCCTATATGGACAACATTATGTCACAGCAATTTCATTTACAACATATCGAAAGACGGGGCTCAATTTGACGTCACTCAAAACTACTGATCAAAGTTCAATCCGATTATGGCTAATTTTTAAAAGCTAGTCCAAAATTGTGAATAGGAGTCCTGAATGAGGCATGAAAAAGGATATGACCTCAATGAGATTCTCAATATAATAGGAGTTCTAATTGAGATATTTTATTGGGGTGTTCTATTGAATATAACGTCTTATCATCAAGATATAATATACCGGGTGAGATAAAAAAACTGCAACAAAGTCAAACGCCACAGCTTTCAAATTTTATTTTTAAATTTTATTGAATGAAAGCAAAATATATCGGAAATAGTATCAATTTAGAATAAGTTTGGATTTGTTCGAATTGGTTACCGAATTATGGCCTTCAAACGGCCAATGAAACCGTCACACGCTGCCCGATTGTTGCTCTGTGGTATTTTGGCCCATTCCCGGCGAAGAGCTTGCTTGAGGTGAAAGACACTTCGGTATTTTTACTGCCAACCTGCTTTCCAAGATACTCCAGACACAATAGTCCAACGGATTGGTATCCGGAGACTTTGGTGCCCATTTTGCGCTGGAAATGAAGCGAGGAACCCCATTGTGTGTCCATTCTTGGGTGGTGCGTGCTCATTGCGATGGTGCTGAGTCCAATGTCCAAGGTCCAAGGTCTGCGGCTTTAATACACCCTCCATAATATTTTCGTGATAATATTCGGCATTTATTCTGATGCCGCGGTCGATTTATACGAGCGAAGAGCGACCTTCGGCTGTTATGGCAGCCCACACCATCACCATGGCCGGCGCTTGAGTTCTGGTGGCCAACTGAAGGTGCACATTTTCAGTTGACCTCTTTATCAAGTGAAAACGATCATTTTGTTTGTTTACAAACTGCTGGACAACGAATGTTTTCTCATCGGAGAAAATCGGAAACCAAATTCGGCAGTTCACCACTTTCGGCCAATCGAAGCAATTCTTTAGCTCTTTTGAGTCTACTTTTTTCTGTCACGGTGTAAGTTCTTGCACTTTTTGGAATTTCAATGGATTTACCCCCAGCTCATTTTTCAATATTTGCCGAATGCAATATTGCGATATTTTAAGCTCACGAGCCATTTTTCTGCCTCTGCGACGCGGGTTTCGATCAAGTCGCTTCATTCCTTTTCGAACCATTTCAGCTGATGTTGCTGTTTTCTTCCTTCCACTTATTTGACGTCGGGCTACACTACCAGTATCACAGTAACTAGCGATGATACGAGACACAAAAGATTTATTCACATTTAAATGCTGGAGTGCTCTAACGATAGGCACTTGTGGTTTTCCAGCCAAATATAAAGAAATCACACTATCAGACTTCAATTCCATCCATCGACGAATAACTTTTTTTCTGGAAAACTCTCACCAAAATTCTTTTGTACGCTTGTAAGCAATATAATGAGATGTCATTGGAATAATTGTAACAGCTGTCGGACGAGTGGCTTAGAAATGACAGCAGTCTAAAGTTGGTTGCAGTTTTTTTTTTCATCTCACCCTGTATATACCTAGTTATTGAGATTTCAAGAAATCTTAATCCAAAAACTTCAAAAATTGTGGAAGAGGGGGGAACTAAACCTCTCATGGGCTCCAAGATGACTAAAATTTTGCTCATACCAAATTTTGTCTATAAGTTTGATGGGATTGAATTTTGCTATATAGGTCCACATGTTTTTTTTATTTATTGTCCCTAATATTGGCTTAAAATGCTCTTAGTCATTTCGTAGGTTTTGACCATGTTTTAAAACGGAATTGGTGTTCGTGGAGTTCGTCAACTCAGAACAAAAAAAAAAAAACAAATTTGTTTAAGACTTCATAGGGTAAGTGTGCCTTCGGCATGTCCCAGTAGTCGGCACTTTTTATTTTTAAGCCCAAATAAATGAAACTATTATAACTAAATGTTTTTTGTTTACTTCAAATATATTGTCAGCTATTTTTGTGTACAATTTCACTAAGAAAAGATGATTTATTCTAATAAAAATTAAATTTTTGTCTTACAAAAACATTGTTACGCCGACTGTTGGAACATGCCATACCGACAATTGGCAAGTGGTGCCGACTACTGGCACAAAAGCATTGTTTTAATAAAACTACAAATTTATGAAATTTAATAAAAAGTTATTAAAACTTTATTTATTATTGCAAAAACTATACAAAATTTCGAATCTGAATAAATTAACTTTGTAATAATTGAAAAGTTTCACTCAGAATGGCGAGCGGTTAAAAACGCGAAAATCCTAAAAGTGCCGACTACTGGTACACTTACCCTATTTTATTATTTGAAACACATTTATTTTCAATTTCTGATATTAAATATGTTGCGTTAATAATATGTTACCATTTAAAAATCGGAATTTTAAAGGTTTAAAAATCGCCAAAATTCGTATTGTAAAAATTATTCAAAAATTGAAGCCTATTTTTATATACTTTAATTTCCTAATGTTAAAGGTTTTAAATTCCGAACTGTTTTACTTATATTGTTCTCTTTTCTAGAAGAAAAATTTTACATCCTCCTTTACATCAAATCCCCATCGTATATTTAATCCAATTGGTACAGGTGTAGTAGTGTGGTTCAACTCAACTTTTATTGTATGCAATTTATTTGTGTGAAACATTTCTAAGAGCCGAACAAAGATCGTCGTGTTAAAGCACAAGGTCTAGGTCTAGGTCACTCAAAATGAAATTATGTACATATATATTTATGGGAATTTACACGAAGTCTTTTATTTTATTATTTCAATAATTTATATTTTTAAGAACTTGCAATTCATAACACCGCACCGCAGGGTTAGAAGAAAATCTGAAACAAATTCAAATTTAACATATGTTTCCCATAATTTTCACATTTTTACACTTCATTCGCAGGTTTTATTTGAATTTCAAGTTTAAACAGGCACATCCAGCTGGTGTTTTATGAAAGGACGATGGAATTAATCCACAAGTGTGTAGACTTGTAAAACATTACTGGATTTGAATTCACACACAATGGGGAACACACACAAAAAATTATGCTCGAGGAGGGAGGGGGTGAGAACGCCAACATTCTCCGAATTTTCCGCGGAATTTTTTATTTACGAGGGGGTAGGTCACACTTGATAACTTACAAAGACATGAAACCATAAACGAATAAATTTTTTCTTAATTATACAGCAGCACTGGGTGGTACTCTCACTAAACACAATCTATATTTCATTTAAATTTCAGGGCTATTTTCTTCACCCTACCCTTTGCATTCTTCATTACATCCTTTCTTTCCATTCACCTTTTTTGTGTTGGCTATTCTATTTTTTTTCACATCTCCATTATTATTTGTTATTACTTAGAAATGATTATTTATTCACAGAATTTCAGAACACAAGCCAACTTAACCGAAATGAGAGATGCAAGATAAAGAGGCGACAAAGTAAGAGGCGGCGAGAAAGCGAGAAAAAAATAAAATCTATTTCTGTTGATTGTTTCGGGCATATGTCAACACGCGCCAAAATAATGTTTGCGACTAAACTGGGCGAAAACGGATACATGGCTGTAAGACTCATTTATGGTGCCAAGAGTTAGGCTCTCTCTCACGCTCAGAGTCTCTCTCTGAAACACAACCACATACATGTTTGGGGAATTGTAATGGCAAGGTCCTTTGGAGCAATGGAGAAGAAAGCAACAAGAGTAAAAGTCACCTTTGCGTTTTTGTTGTAATGTTACATTAACAATGACATTCACAACTACAAGGATAAATGTTAGGAGTAAAGTTGTTCATTGAGAAAAAAAAAAAAAAACATATCGCAAACAGTGTCTCTCAAAAGCTTTTTCTACAATAAAACCTAAACAAATCTACTCTCACAGTCTCTCTTTCAGTGCTCAGACACAAATACACCTAAACGACTCAGGACAGGCATACAAAACTCGTACAGAGAAAAAGTAAACAAAAAACATATGTTTCCCTTGCGGCGTTTTGTATTACAGGACTCTCTCTTTCTCTATCCCACACACACACAATACATTAATTGCCTGAGAGTAGCTTGTTATTTTATGTACCCAATGAAAGAGCTTTACCTTGAAGACAGCTGTACGTAAATTTGAGAGGGTTGATAATCGAAAGTTTGAAGGGCAAAACAGCTGAGCGAGTTATAATGAACCTGTTGCTCTCTGCTTTAGCTTTTTTGCAAAGTTCTGCAAAATGCTATACAACAAATAGTTATGTACTAAATTTTAGGTTTCTGCAAATAAATGTTAATTAAATTTATCTAACAGCTCTGAGCTTTCTTAGCTGTCTCTCTTACTGTATCTCTCTATTATTTTATTTGGTTTTTATACAACAAAAAATTCTCTTAATATTGTACCCATCATACATTTTAGGCTATGACTTCGAAATGATATTGAGGACCAGCTGCAGGTCTTGGGACGACCCCAACGATTTTTTTTCATGGAAAGGTGTCAGAATTCTACTTTTTTCTAAAAAAAAATGTAAGGTATTACGAAGAAGTATATATCCTTACTATATATGACCATTTGGACGATTAGGTCAATACACCACCAAACTCAAATTTCTATTGAAATTTTCTAAATATTTACAAAAAATATATTTTTTTGAAATTAGGTGAGAGGAGCAGATATAGCCAATCTTCGAACATAAATTTAATAAAACTATAAAAGTCTTCGAAATTTAGAGGAACACGCTTTTTTCCAAAGTTTTATTCAGTATCTCAATTATTTTTCAAAATTCTTTCTGTTTGTGGAGTTTTAGACCCATTATATCACTTCGTCTAATTTCGACAGAAACATGTGCGAACGATGGCAGAATTGGGACAGTCATTAAAAGACAGGCGAAAAGTGGATATCAATCGACGGTAAATGACTAAAGTAAAATTAACCTTGGACATCCTTCCTTAGAATACTTTTCCGGGTCTTCAAGATCTAAATCTTAGATCTTGCCTGAGTACTTATTGAGGTCTCTCGTAAACATAGACTAGTATATCCTTGTATCCTATTGCTAGTAATGTAGAACTTGCTTGAGTACTTATTAAGGTCTCTTGCAGACATAGCCTTTCATATTCGGGTAGAATTTCTTGAGTACTTATTAGGGTATCTTGCAACCGTATTTTCGCATGTCCTTGTAGATCACGCTTTAGTATATATTGAGGTCTCTTTCTATCCTTGCAAATTTGATTGAGTACTTATCAAGGTCTAACGCAGATGTAGCCTCAAATATGCTTTTATATCTTGCATGAGTACTTATTAATGTCTCTGGCAAAATTAGCTCTACATATCCTTATAGATTTGCTTGACGGACCGGTAGTCTTAAATAAAACATTCCAAATCCGGAGGACCAAACGTTGCTTTCCTGCCCCGTGTCTCGAGTATTTCTCAAGGTCTTCAGTCGAAGAACCATTGCTAACACTGGACTGAAGACTAGTGGATTAGTTACACTTAGAGTAGAATTTAAAACATTTTAATTTTATTATATACGAATTTCATTTGTAATTGGTAAAATTAGATTGGAGATCAGATTTATTTCATTACGTGTCTAGTCGAAATAACGGTTTTAGACCCTAGGTCTCTTTCGACCAAATCCGTTTCAGGACTTTTGGAGTCGATCTAGCGATGTTCTTCCGTCCGTCCGTCTGTCTGTCTATCTGGCTGACTGGTGCGCACGATTACTCTCGAAGGGAATATCCCATTTGATTCAAACTTGGCACATCGTAATATTTTTATCAAACTTAGAACGAGTTCAGAAATGGGCAATATCGGTCAAATCCTTCTTGTACCTCCCACACAAAATGTCACCATTTTCAAAGAAAATAATTTACTGCACTGAAAGAGAAACGATTATCCCAATTTTCTCCAACTTTGCGAATCCAAATATTTGCATCGGTGCTACGTCAGGTGCGAAAATGGACAATATCGGTCCACTCCATCAAGTACCTCCCCCACAAAGTGTCAAAATTTTGAATAATTATAGCTCTTATAAAATGTGACGTAAGTGTCCGATTGTCTTCAAACTATACGGATCACATATAATCAACCCAAGGTCTGGTGTGAAGAAGGAATATATTAGTCCGCTCCTTCTGGTACTTCCCCCACAAAGGGTCAAATTTTTGAAAAATTAAGTTAACATCCGATTCCATTCAGACTTGGCTCATCTCAATATTTCCATAAACACAAAATCTTTTATAAAAACAGTAGTGATCGGACAGTTTCTTCTGGGACCACCCCCATATAATTGGGTCATTTCTCTTCGAAAATGGGCGAGGAGACATATTGAAAAATTTTTTGTTTACCAAAAGTGAAGAGGAGGATGATTAGGCGAAATTACACGCGAACCCTATGTATTCAAAGGTTCTGCAGGAAGGCTGACTAATAATCTAAAACGGCAATTTACAACCACAAAGATGGAAACATGGGTTTTCATTTCTTTCATCTTGGACATTGTTTGATCGTGTTAGGATAATATGGTGGATATGAATATATAAGGAGTCTCCGATGAACATTTCGAACATTTGAACATTTTGTCATCCCGTTTGTAACTCCTCCAAATATTGATGATAGACCCTTCGACGACGATTTAGCGATGTCTGTCTGTCTACCTGTGTGTCTGTTGTATCACGATATCTTTCGGCTGAACTGAGATAGAAGGTTAAAATTTTGCATACATGCGGTTTTTTGCAAATAGGCAGGTTAAGTTCGTAAATGGACAATGTCGGTCGACGTTTTCGTATAGCGCCTTTTATAATTGTACCTCCCGATATTCGGTATTTTGATGATTTTAGCGACATCATTCACTCGAATTGTTTCAAATTCGAAAATTTCGTTTTCGTATAGCCCTTATATGATGGTACCTCCCGACATTCGGTATTTTGATGATTTTAGCGACATCATTCACCCGAATTGTTTTAAATTTCGTATTGAAAGTCTATAACGGATAATATAGCTTATGAATAACAATTTCGTATCCAGGTCCACGTCTTCGTATGGCCCCTATATAATGGTACCTCCCGATATTCGGTATTTCGATGATTTTAGCACTATCATTCACCCGAATTGTTTCAAATTTCATATTTGAAGATTTTAATGGACAATACAGCCTATGCCTAAAAATTTCGTATGCAGGTCCACGTCTTCGTATAGCACCCAGATAACGGTACCTTCCTACATTCGCATTAAGAGTACATTGTAGGGTTGGCTGCTTAGCTGCTTTTCTACTTGTTAGTTTTCTAAGTTCCTATAAAATAAATAAATGTATTAATTCCAAAATTACATTATTGTGATTGCCTCTAACATGAGTGAAAGGCTACAGCAATTTCAAGTAAAAACTTAACCGAAATAACCCTAAATCAACACAATGGACAAATCTAATTATATTTCAAATAAAATAAATATGATAGCTAAAAACACGACCATGAGGGCTATGACTTACTTACATTTCCCAAACCAAAAAAAATAAAACGTGGGGAAAAATAAAACATTCAAGAACATGCAAAAGAAAAAACACCAACAGCAAACACTTAAATTGTTGCTATAATAGAAAGTATGATGAAACATAAATAGACCAAAACTAGAAACTACCAAGGGAAACGGACGAACGATGAAAGGACTACGAAATGGCAGATGTGTGACCAAAGCACAATCTCTTTAATGCCAGAGATGACTATATTGAAGTGGCGAACGACGACAGCTATGCGGAGAAGAAGAAAAAAAAAAAGTAAATTAATTCAAAGCACATCATATTGTTTCTTCCTGGTCTGTTGTTCGCTTTTCCGCTTTCCCCCTTTTTTTTTCGAGAACACGAACTAGCCCCAAAAGCCTACACAAATTGTTTTCCAAAGTAGAGAGGCATATCATCATCAAAACATCAAGGCTATGTGCCTTCCAAGTCTATTCAGTCAGTGGTAAACAAAGTCGGCTTAGAAATCTGTGGACAATACTTCTTCGTGGAAGCACGAAAATTCATATGCCACGTCTAAGCATTTGGAGCACACATTACCGCTGTGGGGAAACAAGGTGGCAGCGAGACAATACGTGGCAGCGAAATGATACTACTCGCCACTCTGTTGAGTATGGGGCTATTGCCATGGATAAATTTAAACTTAGCTGTAGGGATTGAAAATTTAAATTGCATTCAGAAATTATTGGAAAAAAAATATTTTTTTAAAATAAGTCTACATGAGATTGCAAAATGTTATATGAAAAGCATTAGGGATGAGAATAAGTAATTTTTAGTTTGATGGATACCAAAATATATGTTTCAAACCCTGTGACTCTTGGAGATTAAATTTTAGATTTAGCAATGGCTGGTGCGCACGATGACTCTTAAAGGACACATCCGTAAAACTATATAAAGTTTAAATATTCGAAATATCTGCCAAATCATTTTGGTACCTCCTCCAAAAAAGTTCGAGATTAAGGAATTGTATATTTGATAAAAAATGGAAGAGCATACGATTTCACTAAACGATATCGTAATTATACCCTTATCCATATGGCTAGGGAG